ACTATTCATTCTCCCCAGACATATTTTTCTTGCTATCATTTCCAGTGTCAGAACTGTAATCCAGGTCCTTAACCCACATCCACCTCCCAACAGCTATGTCCTCCCCACTCAGACACCCTTATCAAAGCCCTAATTTCCTTCACAGCCCACTCCAAACTCCCCTCTTTTGGAGGAGGCTTCCTAGTTAATAGCCTCTGGTCTGAATTTCTGTGGTGCCCACTGGACATCCAGGCACCACTGAGCATGTAGTTACTGTGCTGCTTTGGCCTCAATGGGTGTCTCAGATTAAGCAGTATTTTCATCTGCCCCAGATAAGTACCCCCCTGGGGTAGGGATCAAAGGGCACAGCCGCTTTTCCAGAACCTCCCTCCTCCAGTCGAATGGCAAGGTCTCCACTGCTGTGGCTTTCTAACAGGCTGAAAACAGCCTTGCTGGAGAGTTGACAATGGCTTCATTTGCAGATAGGTGGAGATGGGAGTGGGTAAAAAGATTTGACCATAAATCTAATAAATCAACCAAAAAAAATTTGTATTGCAGATTGAATCTAGTACATCCCCAGCCCTTTTTACTTTTATTTTTTTCAGGATCTTGCTGAGTTGCTGAGGCTGACCTTGAACTTGGGATCCTTTTGCCTCAGTTTTCTGAGTTGCTGGGATTACAGACATCTGCCTCCACACCCAGCATTATTATTTTTTTTAATTATACTCATTTCCTTTCTAGTTTCTGGTATAATCTCCCTTCCTAGACATGCTTTGTGGGTTTTTTCTCTTTTTGTATCAATTTTATCTTCCTTGTGTACATATGTTCTCATTATGAGTCAGCTGAAACCCTCCTTGGAAATAGCTGGGGTATAAATAATTTCACTAAAAATCTTAGTGACAGAGCCAAATACAATGTTCTTGATTTTACTCTTTACCCTTTACCTCCTTTTATGCTGGTTTTTGCTCAGGTTAAAATTATTTTCAGTTAAATTGATGGAAATGTATTAATGACTTTAAATCTTTATCTCCAGAATTCCCATCTTTGAGCCTTTATAATCCTCCTCTACATTTTAAACTCTGGCCCGCAAGTAAAATTTTCAGGAAAATAAAACTTTCATAATTTGATAATTAAAAGAATAAACTGAGCTGAAGATTGAGGGACTTACACTTGATTAAAGGCTTGACCCAATTAGAACTTTTCACATCTGAATTAATCCACTTTCTGCTACTATAACAAATACCAATGATAAATACCTTATAAAGAGAAAATGACTATTTTGGCTCATATGATACAGTTCATAATTGGGCTGACCTGTTGCTTTTAGGCCTCTAAAGGCAGCACTTCATGGTGGGAGTGCATTTCAGCAAAACCCTTTACCTCATGGCTGCATCTTAAAAGAGAAAGGAAGGGGTCCCTCAATCCTTTGAGGGCACAAAAAAAAACCTCCCAACAGGCCCCACCTCTGAAAGTTTCCACTATGTCCCAATCGTGCCACAGGCTGGAGACCAAGCCTTCATCGTATGGGCCTGTGGGAAACAATCCAGATCTAAACTCTAACCCCATCCTGTTACCATTGTCTGTGTATCCTTCAGGATTATCGTCTCTGCCTGTCTTGCTGAGCTTCCCTCACATCTTCTCCACTTATTCACCTTTCCTGTGTCTTCAGTTTCATGAGCTCTTTCTGTTCTGGCTGTATGATTGAAAGTCTCCTAACTTACCCATGACCCTAAAGCCCCTGAAAACAACCCCTCTGCTCTTCCTTTCTTAGCCAAGTATCTTGAAAGAAATAACTATCTACTTTTCCCTTAATTTATAGTAAGTGGTACCATGATTATGTGTTGAACACCTCCTCTATTCTGGCCATGTGAATAACCACTGGAATGGTTGTAGAAAATAAACTACCTACTCCCACAGAGCTCAGCCTCCTTGCCATGCCACACATGGGAACATCCTAGCCCCCAAATCCTGTGACTCTTCATTCTTTCCCCATTGGCAGCATCAGACACAATTAGCAATAGTTAATAAAATTCAAAAGCTTAAATATTTCATGCTTAGAAGTCATCCTCCATGTTTCAGACTCTGTAATGAGTACAGAGATGATCAAGCACAGAATCTGCCTTTGAAACAATAACACAGGGAATGTCATGTAGCCCGACAGGCTTCCTTAAGTCCCCTAAGCTTCACAGAAAAAAATACTTTTAAGGAGGCCAGAGCTTTTATCTACAAAACTTGCTCAATATGGCTACCTATGTTCTCAACATACAGATTAAGACATACTCAGCAGCTGGCAAACACATATAAGATGGCACCAGGAGTGAAAGTGGGATCTCCATTGATACCACCTCACTGCTACAAAGTTGGTGGTTCTGCCTCAGCACACCAACCCCACCCARTGTCCTTCAGGAACAAAAATCACTTATCTTAGTCAAAGACATTGAGGCCCATAGAAGTATAAAAATATAAATTATGATTTGTTGAAATGAAAAAAAAATTCCTAAGATTGTGGGTAAAGGAATTTTTCTACCACGTTTGCTGCCTCATGAGTCCCCACCTGCCAACCTAAGTTCTCGGAGGCTGCCTTTATCCCATCCCATGGTGTATCCTACAGTTCCTCGATTCCCTGATGAGTGCGCTCCATGCTGGTGGACACCCTGAATCCTTCATGAACCGCAGCTGTGTCTTTGGCAGAGGGGAGAAGACAAGTTCTTTGGATTTCATATCACAAGGGAGGATCAGGGGGCTCCAAAGCAGAACTGCTCAGGCTCCAACATCAACGTCATACCAAAGTATTAGTGAAACCAGTTCTTTTATGTTTTCTGTTCTTCTTCTTAACTGCAATGAGAGGCCAGAATGCAGTCAAAACCATCCTCAGAGCTTTTGCTCCTCCACAAGGCTTTTCCTGGATTAAATTATTGCCTTATTAGTTTCACATCCATCCCACTCATTCCTCTGACACACCCAGGTATATCTGCATCCCAAAAATAATGGACTCTGGGTTCAAGCTGAGATAGAGTTCCCTGTTACACACATCAATACAAAACCTTGCCCATGCTAAGTCCAGTCAAATGGGCCTGAAATAGAAACCTCTGCAATCCAGAGAGAGCAAATTCACTGAATGTCACAATTGAGGTCTGAACCTGAGATCAGGGAAAGACCTCATTATGAAAGAGTTCACCCAAACTCTTAGGTTGTGGTTGTTCTGACTTTTTTTGGTGTGTCACTTGGAATTTTGCCAAAGGAAGAACTTAATAAACACAGATCAGGGCTGGGGGTGTAGTTCAGTAGTAGAGCACTCGCCTAACATGTGCAAGGCCATGGGTTCACTCCCCAATATCAGAAAAGAAAGAGAGATAGAGAAAGAAAGAGAGAGAGAGAGAGAGAGAGAGAGAGAGAGAGAGAGAGAGACTGATCCTGCCAGTGACCTTCCAGTTGCTCCTGGAGTATAACAGAATAAGCCTTTTCATCCTCATCGTCAGGAGGAGGCTTGCTAAGGACACTTAGATTTATTCTGTCTTCTTAGGAAGCCCCTGTGGCAGGGCTACCTGCTAATCCATATGGCACCTTTATGCAAATTAGAAAGAGACACTCCCTCCTCCCAGTGGATCCAGCTTCCACAGCTCATGCATGCCTCCAGAGCAGACAGGAGGGGAAGGAGAGTGTCAGAGCCATCATCATCTACCTTTTACATATGGGGAAACAAGCCCAAAGAGGGGTGAGTCAGTAATAAGAAAGAGCTCAGGTCTACTGAGGACCAGCACATATTCCTTCTACTCATCATCTTAGTGTGAGGCAAAGCAGCTGCTTGGTGGCCCAGTTGGAGGGGTGAGAGCTTCCTTCCTCAGGGTGCAGAGCAGTCTCAAAGGTAGACAAACCAGACCCAGGGTCCCTTCCCTCTCACTCATCAGTGTTCATGTTACCCATATCCTCTTCCTTTGGCAAAGAAATAGGGTCTCATTTCTGAGCACTTGTGAGAGGTAATAATAAAAGGTGAGGACATAGTTGGAGGCAGGTAACAATCCCTGCAGTCCATTTTCCACATCCCCATCAAACAGAACCTCAGCTCTGGTTTGCCAACAATAGTGATTCTCAAACTTTACTGTGCACCAGAACAAAAAAAAAAAAAAAAAAAACAGCTTGGTGGCCCCAGAGTCTGTGATCAGGGTTCAGAGGTAGGGCTCGAGAATTTGCATTTCCAACACATTTGGTCAGTGGCAGAGCTGTAACTAGAACCCAGGTGACCCTAATGTTGGTGCTCTGGGGATCTGCTATGAGAGCCACTTGCCTAGCAAAAGAGCCCACCCTTTCCTCCCTCACCCTCTTTCCTTTCTTCCTCCCCTTCCTTTGGCCTTTTCTTCTTCCTCCTCCTATTCTTCTTAGATCCTCTTCCCATCTTTCAAATCATGACGGAAGGAGCTAGCTCTGCTGGGGACCTGGGCTCTAGTTCCAGTTATGCCACTGACTAATGTGTGACCSGGGGTGAGTCACTACCCCTCTCTAGGCCGAGCAAAGGCAGTCACCCAGACTGTGAAGTCCCCTCCACGGCCAGGACCATATCTGCCAGGGTTCATCTCTATATCCCCAGATCCTTTGAGCCGTATGTGTTTGAAGGGAGGCCTCCCTGGATTCKAATCTCTTCTTCCTTCCAAATCGGAACTGTCCCTTTCCAGTTAGACATGATGTTTGAGGTCTTTCTAGGGRATGGTCTGGAAGGCGGGGGTAGCTTGTTCAGGGGAAGGAGCCAGGTCCGCGGCTTCAGACCCTGCCCTCGCRCGGGTCGAGGTCCCCCAGCAGGAGGCGCCAGAGTGAAAGCCAAGGCCAAATTGGTCAGCCCAGGTGTCCAGTCCGGGGCTGGGAGGCGGGGCGGGATGCTGCGCCCCAGAGGCGTGGACATCACCGACGCGCGCTGGGGCCGCACTTAAGTAGCTGGGGCCAGGGCGAGGAAGGAAGGAGCGAGCAATCCCGGTTGCTGCTGATCTTCTCGGACCCGGACCCAGACCCAACCCGACCTAGTCTGCGCCATGTGGGGCTGGAGCGTGGCTCTGTGGCTCTTGCTGGCTCTGCGCACTGGTGAGGCCCTGGCGCCGGGAGGTGAGAGCAGGCGCCCCGGCGGGGGTCCCAAAAGCGCTCCAGCCCTTCGGGGCCGGGAGCCTTTCGGGGCCGGGAGCCATGAAACGCGTCCTGAGCCCACGTCCCCGAGGGCGGGAGAGTAGGCAAAGCGCGAGGCGCAGGTCGGTGAGGACGGCAGGGGTCTCCCACCGTTGGGGCAGACCTGGCAGTCCGGATGGCTTCTTGGAGGAGGCGGCCTCGAACCTGGCCTTGGAAAAAGGGACTCTCCAGACTTGCCAAAGAGGCGCCTGGGGGAGAGCCTCAGGGTGTCCCGGAGGAGGGCCCCCAGGATGGCTGCTCCTGACAGGCGTGGAAACTCAGGCAAGGTTTGGGGACCAAAGCAGCCTTATTTCCAGAGCCCCCCAGGGGAGGGTGTGTATTTAGAGGGATTGATTGGCAGGAGGGCGTGGGAAGCCGCCTGGGAGACTGCACCCCCACTCTGCGAAGATGGGTCTTCTCGCCTCAGCACCCAAGGGACTCAGGGCCTGAGACTGGGTTAAGTCAGGTGGGAACTTCAGGAGCAGGGATCGCTGGGCGGTGACTGCGGAGGGGCTGGAGTTCACATCACTGCTCATTCTTCATCAGTCCAAAAATTAACCCGCCTCCCATCCCTCTTCTGGACTCCGCGGTTGACCGGACTCCAGGTGAGGGAGGGTTTGGGAGTTTGGACCTGCAGGGAAGAGTAGGACTGTCGACCTTCCTAGGTGGCCATAGGTCAGGAGAGGGGGAGGCCGTGCAGGCAGCTACAGTGTTGATGCTTGAAATAGGGATTGGACAGCATAGGCTGCCACAAGAGGAGGACTTGGCTTTGGGGCAGAGAGAATTGAACCCCAACCCGGAGCATAGACCTCYAAGGAGTCTGACTGGGGAGGTGAACAGTGGAGGAGTCCAGGTTTGCAAAATTATCAACCTCAGGGGAGCCTGGCACCCCTTCCTCTGGGGCCCTGCTGGGAGCTCTGAGTCTCTGACCTGGTCAGATCAAAGGGCCCAAGTGCAAGTCTTCTGAAGACCTGTGTGTCCTGGGCTCTGCACACAGATTACTTCCAACATAAGGTAAGTTTTCTCATCTCTTCTCAGAAGAGGAAACAGGCCTAGCGAGGTCAAATATTTCCTGAAGTCACCAGTTATAGGGGCAGGAACTTGAACCCAACCTGCTGATTCCTCAGCCTTCCCTCTTGTGTCCCAGGGTCTGAACTGCAGCCAAGAACACAGACACTCAAGAGAAGGAGCCAGGCTTCTCTGGGACAGCCCACCACAGCCACCTGTTCTCAGGCACATGCCCCTGTTCAGGAGGGCCCAGGGACACTGCTGAGGGAAGAACCCCAGGCCAGTACCCTCTTCTTGGAGGCCTGGAAAAGGGCAGAACTTGCCAAGTCACAGAGCCTGCTGGGGCTTCCCAGGCAGTGCTGCTTCTTCCCTCCAGCCTCCGCCTCCACCTAGGCAGGTGGAGGGAGGTGGGGCAGCTGCTCAGCTGTCCTGGGAGACCTTTCACTCCTCAGTAATGGGTCAGGTTCTGAGCTGCCCCATCTGTCAATGTCCCTGATTAGGAGGCCCTGAGCACACCTTGCCCTGTCTCTGTACCCTGTGGGAGGGCAAGACTGTTGAAGGGGACTGGCTATCTGGACTGAGGCTGGAGCCATTTAGGGCACTTGGATGGGCCACGTTGGGAGCTAGACCTCACTGTYTCCTGCCTCCAGTGCTCGGCCAAGTCGAGGTCCGATGGTGCACCACATCAGATCCAGAGCAGCAGAAGTGCAGCGACATGAGCAAGGCCTTCCAGGAAGCAGGCATCCAGCCCTCCCTCCTCTGCATCCAGGGCATCTCTGCTGACCACTGTGTCCAGCTCATCACGGTGAGGCCTCTCCCCCGCCACCCCGCCCTGCTCCTGCCACCACTGGCCTAGACAAGAGGGCTCTGACTCAGGAGGAGTGCACAGCACAAGAGCCTCATTCACTGGGAAAGGGGCCGKCGTCCCTCTGCCAGGGCTGGGCGATAGGATCTCTTGAGTTTCCCRGCAACAAGGGTCAGTTTGTTTCCTCCCAGCCCAGGCCAGGCTGGAGGCCGAGGGAGGGTGTCTGTTCAGATGGGTGCTGCTGGAGAAAGGTGTCTGAGAGGCAGGGCTTCCCTTCCACAAGGCCCCTGCCTGCATGGGGACACCACCCACATAGGGGTGGGGGCAGACAGCAGTGACCTTTCTGCAGTGACCTTTCATGGTGGTTACTTGCTGCCATGGAACTTTCCACAGTGACACTCCTTGGCGAGGAGTGTTCCCACTAAACTGGCACTGGTGGTCTTCAGAGGCAGCACAGGATTGGGAGGGACATTGTAGACCTCCATGAAGCCAAGGCCTTGGGTCAGGCTCCACTGTGAGGGCAGACACCAGTTACACTGAATCCTAATCTCATCCCTTCTTCCCGTAACACGATGACAGTGCACTTTCATTCATGTTTAAAGATAAAAAGGGGGAAAAAAAAAAGAGGGCATCTATGGGATTCAGTCTCCATAGACTATTTGAGAGGAAAAACCTAAGAACAGGGCTGAGAAATAGGAAAGTAAGGAAGATTCACTTTTTACAACTTGGCACTTTGTATTATCTGATTTTTTTTTTTTTTACTGCGGGCATCTATTATGATATGCTAAAATAAACAGTGAATATTTTTTAAAATAGCAAGAGTTAGAAAAATAAGGTGAATCTTCAGCCTGATAAAGGGGAAGAGCCCTGGGCCCCTCCAGATTGGGATAGACAAAAAGCACAGCACACATCTCCAGGACTTTTCAAGTGTCCCTAGGCCACCTGGAGGCGTTCCTGAGTTCCTCATGAAAGGCCAGTTGGGCAGGACTGGGTGACCTGCATGTTTCTTACTAGGCCCAGGAGGCTGACGCCATCACTCTGGATGGAGGAGCCATCTATGAAGCGGGGAAGGAGTACGGCCTGAAGCCTGTGGTCGGCGAAGTGTATGATCAAGGTACAGGACAGAGTGAGAGAGAGAGCAAGGCCCCCACCCAGAAGTCAACTCACAAGTCTGGGCTGGCTGACCCTGCAGCCTCTGAGCTGGCCATTAGACCTATCCATAAAGCAGTCCTGGGTCCCAGGCTGACAGACCCTCTGGCAAGCCCCTAGCTCACTCTTGAAGCCCCTGGGCAAGAAAGCCAGGGACACAGAGGGTTGACCTGAGTCCTTCCTCATGGGGAGTCCAGTTCCCCTAACTTTTGCCACCAAACCTGGTGCAGTGGGGGGCGTGGAGCTGAATGAATGATTACCTGTATGACCAAGGTTTTGGTGATGCTCAGCTACCCGAACACATCATGGCTCTCTGTGGGAGGCAGCGTGGACAGGTGGAAGAGGAACCACAGAGCCCAACGGACCAGGAGCACATTGGGAGGAGCTTTGTGAGCTCCTTTACCCCATCCCTGCCTCTCACAGCAGATCTGCCCTCAGCTCACCCTGCCTTGGCATCTCCCCACCACCTCTGCCTGTTCAATGTCTAACTACTGTCAGAGTCAGTGAGGTGGTCACCTCCCCCAGGAGCTTCCCAGAGCCCCTCTCACCCTTGCTAAGGGCCTCTCTTCCCTTCCTTGTGATTCCCCAAGGAGGACCTAGTTCTCATCTTTGTGTACCCCTGGTACTCTACACAGGGTCTCACTAGCTAGGTACTTGTTGAACTGATTGTCACATGACAACACATAGTCCAGTTCTGCTTTCCCTGGAAGTCAGACTGAACACACTCTTCCTCTTCTGTTCAATACCTCCATTGAGCACCTACTGCATAGGAAGCAAGAGACCTTGCTTCTGTTGCAGAGAACAGGAGTGAGACAGGGAACAAATAGGCAGCAAAAACTGCAGTGACCCAGGTGGCAGGTACAGTGAAGAAAAGGAAGGGCCACGAGAGGAGAAGTGAGGGGCATGGGGAAACCTACAAAATAGGGCAAACGAGGGTTCTCCATGGAGGTGACATTTAAGCTGAGACCTGACAATGATCCCAGGTAGGCAAGAGCCTGGTAGGTCTAGGATCTGGAAGGAAAGGGAGGATGGGTGAGTCAGGGGTGGTGTTGGACAGCACTGCTTGAGTTGGCAGGAGCCAGACTCAGGAGAGGGACAGGGGGCCATTGGGTCATCAGTCYCCACAGATGAGTCACCTGTGTCTTATCTGATCGGTCCCTTCTGGGCCACTCTTGGCCCAGGAAAATATTACAAGGCTATAGAGACTCACACAGCCCCCCCATGGCCATTCAGGGTCTTAAGTGACTTGGGACCACATTGCTAGTACTTTCTGTGTCTCTGTCTCTTTCTCCCTGTCTCTCCCCTCATCACTAGGACATTGCTTTTCCCAAAACCAGGAAGCCCCTGCCCTGCTCCCCCTGACCCTCCCAGCCATCTTCTCCCCATAACCACCACATCCTTCCTTCAAGCCCACCAYGTTCTTCTCAGGACCTAGGTTTTTGGAAAGCAAAAGACATGCAGGCTACTTCTGCTTTCTGTCCAGCTACAGAGCTGGACACATGCACAAATGCAGCCGCAGCCCAGCGCCAGCTGGCTTGGGAAGGAAAAGTAGGGGGGATACGGTGAATGAATTATTGTCTTGGGATAGATACTATCTCGTGAGGCTGGAGGAAGGCAAGGTCTCGTGAGAAGACATGGATCGGGCCCTCTTGCTCTCTCTATAATCCAGTGCCATCCACATGCCCATGTACACACATGTGCTCCACACCTGCACACCCACGCTATTCCCACAACCTTCCCAGCAGAGTGGCACTGTGGCCATCTTGAGGCTTTTCCCTTGCCACCCTCACTCCTCTACCTCCCTCCTAGAGGTTGGGACCTCCTATTATGCTGTGGCTGTAGTCAGGAGGAACTTCAATGTGACCATCAACACCCTGAAAGGAGTGAAGTCCTGCCACACGGGCATCAACCGGACAGTGGGCTGGAATGTGCCTGTGGGCTACCTGGTGGAGAGCGGCCGCCTCTCAGTGATGGGCTGCGACGTGCTCAAAGGTAAGGACTCAAGGCTCGTCACAGGGTGCCTGGGTGTCCCCTCCTTCCCTGCCGCGTAGTCTGTGGAATCACCACCTCCACTCTGCTGGCCAGCCCTGTGAGGCTGCCATTTGTGTTTCTTCACTTATTGGCCCCTATAGTATGTGGCTTTCACTCACTTGTCATGGTGGCCCACATGACAGCTAAGCACAGGTCTAGCCCACAGTAGGGAGGCGTGAGTCACCAAGGAGTGGCTGCCACTGGTACAGACTTGGTGCAGGTCACCAGAAGCATGAAGGATCAGAAACACTATATTTTCAGGACCCAAGCTCCTGATTTGCACCCAGAAAGCTCCCAAGTGGCTTAAGAGTCCAGCCAGCTGTTAACCCAGCACAACCCCTGCCTGGGAGCCCAGACTCTCAGATGGTGGCCAGGTGTGGGTGGCTTGTCTGTCACAGGGCATGTTTATCTACTCCTCTGGGAGGACAAAGAGAGAAGACCAAGATGGCACTCATCCTGGCTGAGGGTCATGGCTTGCCTGGCACAGTGCAGGAAGTAGGGCATCCTCCCTTGTCACAGGACAAATATTTGTGAAGGGAATGAACCTGGGGCCTAAGTGCTGGCAGGGCCCCAAACAACATCCAAGTCAGCAGAGCTAACCTCTTCACTGCAAGGCTCCTTCTCAGCTCCTCTCCTCCCACCATGATTTGAGAAGTGTTGTCTGTCCCCGGGACAGTACTTGTTAAGTCACAACCCCCTTCATTAACCACACGTACGGATTTGGAAATGATATTTAGTTGTCCTGTGTGGACATTGGTGAGTAAATGTTGTACTCCTCTGGGAACTTTTAAACAGCAACAGTCCCACCCGGTTGCACATTGCCAATGTCCTGGACCCAGTGTGAGAATCACTGATCTCATCCACTTCTCCAGTTTTACTCAGGCCGAAGCGAGAGGGTGAGACAATTCTCAGAAGCATCCAGACGAGGGGCTCCATGTAGAGYACCCCCACCACAAAACAGCCTGAGTCTGTAGAAAGTGCAGCCTGCCAAGTAACCTCTTTYTGCTCTATTTCCACAGCTGTCAGTGACTATTTTGGGGGCAGCTGCGTCCCAGGAGCAGGAGAAACCAGATATTCGGAGTCTCTCTGTCGACTCTGCCGGGGTGACACCTCTGGGGAGGGTGTGTGTGACAAGAGCCCCCTGGAGAGATACTATGACTACAGCGGAGCCTTCCGGTGAGGGTGCCTAGAGAGGGACAGGGAGGGAAGCTGAGTCGGAGGTGGAGGGAAAACATTTTGCCCAGAGAGGCCACACGGGGAGTGGCAGTGTATCAAAGCATCCTTTATACAGTTCTGTGCCGTGCCCTGGTTTGTTTATTAACATCAAACCAGAATGTGCCAGGCTGGATTTGCTCATAAAGTCAACATGTTTGATGTATTTAGAGAAGGGAGGGCTCAGAGAAAGGAAAATGGAAAAAGCCACCCTTTGGCTACTCTGGGACCCCATTCTGGTTTCTCCCACCAGCAGGGAGGGCCATGGGGTGGGGGAGTACAGCTGGACACTTTGTCTGGTCCCTTCTCTGCAGCTAGTTCAGGCTGGTACTTTGGATGACCATGGACCCCAAAGAGTATAACAGCTCATAGTTCAATTGTATTTGTCTCCAAATGAGAGGATGGAATGGAAACCTAAGCATTTCTAGCTGCCAATCCTCAGTGTCTGCACCTGGAGCAGGGGTATCTGCTGGTCCCCATACCCAGGAGGTGGCCTGGGTGAATGCAGATTTTGCACAGAAAAGAAAACACCCCTCCCCGCCTCCTCCATGTCCTGGGCTGCCTGCCTCTTAGAGTCCTCTGCTCTTTCCTGGTCAAATTCCTGCCTATTTTCTGGCTGTAGAGAACCAAGTAGTTGCCAGGCATGGTGGTGCACACCTGTAATCTCAGCAGCTCGGGAGGCTGAGACAGGAGGATTGTGAGTTCAAAGCCAGACTCAGCAAAAGCAAGACATTAAGCAACTCAGTGAGACCCTGTCTCTAAATAAAATGCAAAAATMGGGATGGGGATGTGGCTCAGTGGTTGAGTGGCCCTGAGTTGAATCCCCAGTACAAAAAAAAAAAAAAATAGAGAGAACCAAGTAGTCCCTTTTCCTAGCAGGCCCTGACCTGCCTCCCACACTGGGCATTTTTATATAGATTACTGTGTCAAGGTCACTTCTACTCAGGATTTTTTGGTATGGTGTGAGAAGATCTTCTAGTCATATTCCCTGCTTCAGCAGGATCATATTCAGGATGCATATGATTATAAAGAATCTTTCCTCCTCATGGCGACCCCATAGGGAGCTGCTTTCTCATCCCCACTTGACAGATGATAGGGCGAGGAAGGGTCCACAACTTGGCAAAACCACACAGTCAGCAAGCCAGGGAGCTGGAGCCCGGGACTGCTGGACTAGGAAATGTGTGCCCCAGGGCCACCCCTGCAGCCCAGGCTACACCTCCAACAGTGGATATGGGTGGGACCCAGGGGCYGAGGGGAGAATGGCCCCACCCAGGATCATGGTTTCTCCTCCACAGGTGTGTGGCAGAAAAGGCAGGGGACGTGGCCTTCGTGAAGCACAGCACTGTGCTGGAGAACACCGATGGTGAGTAAGTAAGGCCCAGGCTGCCTGAGGTGGGCCCCAGATGGTACCAGATGCTCAATGCTGCTTGAGTCTCTGGGTGACCTTGGACCAGTCCTGTGATCTCTGAACCTTAGCACTCCTATCTGCAGAAAGGAAGTTCATTTCATCAAAGGTCTCCCACGTGCTCTGCAGGGTGAGGGGCCAGTGAGTAGCGAGAGGAGGCTCTGATTTGTATGTGGCATTAGGTTCCTTTCATTTCAACTTGATAATCGGTGTCTGCCTTTTTAAAGATGGTTTCATGAGAGTTCATCCACTGTCCCTTCTGGCATTTTTCTCCCATTTCCTGAAAAGCCATTCYTTGTCCCCCTGGGCAAGGTCTTATTTAAGATAGGTTGTTATGTATATKAGTCAGCTTTTACGCTACTGTGACTAAAAGACCTGACCAGAACAACTGTAGAGGAGAAAAAGTTTATTTGAGAACTCACGGTTTCAGAGGAGCCCACTGTCCATAGACAGTGGGCTCCATTCCTCGGGACTCAAGGTGGGCAGGACAACATGGCAGAAGAGTGTGGAGGAARGAAGTGGCTCACTTGATGATCTGAAAGCAGAGAGAGGACTCCACTGGCCAGATACAAATTATATACYTCAAAGGCACAATCCCAGTACCTAGGCAGGTGGTACATGCCTGTAATCCTTGTGGTTCAGGAGGCTGAAGCAGGATGATCATAAGTTCAAGGCAAACCTTAGCAACTTAGTGAGGCCTTGAGCAATGTAGCAAGAACCTATCTCCAAGTAAAATATAAAAAGGKCTAGGGATGCGACTGAGTGGTTATGCGCCCCTGGTACCCAAAACAAAAAAAGGTTGATGTTATGTGTTGGTCCATTATATAGYTGTCATTTAAAATTTTTCTTAATTTTGAAATAACTGAGTTTTAGAAAAGTTGCTAGAATAATTCAAAGTACTCCCATCTATTCTTCACCCAGATTCCAGCTTTCAGAGTTTGGTCACATTTGATCTATCATGTGTGGCAGACAGTACATTTGCCTGTGTCATACCCTTGAAAACTTTAGGACACATCTCCTAAGAATAAGGAGGTGTATACCTAGCATGAAATCAAATCAGGAAATGTACCATTGATGTACTGTTACCTAATCTGCAATCGATATTCCAGATTCACCAATTGTCCCAACTCTGTCTTTTGTAGCAATTTTTTCAGATCCACAACCTATCTGTGTGTGATCACTTGTGGTATTTAGATATTGGAGCTCTTCAATTTCCTTGATCCTAGGACAGGATGTTTATGGAAAAAAATTGACAACAGCAAATGAGTGGAATTGACATAAATGTCTAAAGTAGTAAAGTAATATAACTTTGTCCCTCATAGATGAGAAACAAGAGTAATCAATGGAAGTACACAAATGGCACCTTTATCTTGTAGGAAAGCAAATGACACCACAGAGATCTATGCAAAGGTTTTGCAGCAATTTAGAAACAGAAATGTTGGAGAGTGCAGGGAGAGATTTGCACCGAGTAACAAGAGTGTCACAGACAAAAAAAAAAAAAACATTTCTAGAGTTTTCCTGTTGTTTGGGGGTGTTATTTTTAAATCACTTTGGAATGACAGTTTTTATGACCCCACAAATTATCTGTTCCTTCCTATTTCCTAGCAGCAGTTCACCTCTGGTTGTAAATTTAAAAGTCAAAAAAATATTGTTATGTAGGACTATCTGTGGCTTAGTTCTGTGCCTAATATTGGTCAACCTTCCTTCTTAATATTGATTTTCAGTGTTGATGTTACTATTTCAAATAAATCTTTTTTTTTTGTCAGTACTGGGGTTTGAACCTATCCAGGTGTACTCTACACCTACATGGAGCTACACCCCCAGCCCTTTTTATTTTTTATTTTGAGACAGGGTCTTACTAAGTTACCCAGGCTGGTCTTGAATTTGTAATCCTCCTGCCTCAGGTCACAGGTGTATACCACCAGGCCCAACAGAAAATAAATAAGTTTTGTGGAAAGTTTCTAATAGTATAGAAAAAATACTTTATAGAGACAAATGGGGGGGGGCTAGAAAAAAGAACTTAAAGGAAATAGACCAAAATATTAGTAATTGGGGTTGCGGGTAAGGCTCTGGCGTATGGTTCTGGGTAGATTTTGTTAGGGTGTGTTCTCACCATGTTCCCTGCTCCCTGTCCCCTGGCCTCTGCCTTCTTGGTACATTTATCTCTCTCATCCTGAGCTTCTCTTATTTTCTTACTCTTTTTATCTTTAATAAGTAGTCTTATGTATACGTGTTGTATTGCCGTTAGATTTGTTAAATCCGATTTATTAGTAGAAACTGGTAAGAGGTAGAAACTATAAGCAAACACACACAGACCATGTAGACACCAGGTCCTGGAGGTGCACCCTAAGCTGGCCCCTAAACAGCCCTGTGGTGCTGTTTCTCACCTCCATAACACCTCGCCCCCAGGCTTCCTCTCCTGTCCCTCCTAGGACAGGAGGTGGCTCACCAGCCTTCCCATCTTCACAGGGAAAACTCTGCCCTCCTGGGGCCAGACGCTGCTGTCCAAGGACTTTGAGCTGCTATGCAGAGACGGCAGCCGAGCCGACGTCACTGAATGGAGGCGATGCCACCTGGCTCGGGTGCCTGCACACGCTGTGGTTGTCCGGGCTGACATGGACGGGGGCCTCATCTTCAGGTTGCTCAATGAAGGCCAGGTGAGATGAGGCACCCCACCCCTCAAAGCCTCCCAGCTGGTGCTGGGTCTTCTCTCCCACAGTGTGGGAGGCAGGAGGTCTGGCCAGACAGGGACACAGGGAGCCTCAGGCATCCCTCAGAGAAAACTCCTTGTGCCTATGCCTCTGAAGATCAAAATCAGAACACATGAGCAAATGAGCCAAAGGACGAGTCCAGTTCCTTTCAGAGTTTGACGCTGATTGCTGAAGAATGCTTTGCTGAAACCTCTGCTTCTGACAGCCATACACTCCCAACTCTAGGGTGCACCCCGTGGTATCTGGTTTCACCCCATTCACATGGCAGCTGCCCAGCCATTGCTTGTCCCCAGTACTGACCCAACCTAGACCAAGTTGTGCAAAGGGTGGGATGCGACAAGGCAGATGAACTGAATGGACACCCAGAACTAGAGGAGCACAGAAGAAGGAGAGTTCTTCTTCTTGGGGAGGCCCTGAAGGGGAGGGGGGCCTCGCCTGGCCCTCATAGAAGGAGAAGGAGGTGGTGTCTGAGCTGGGGAAGGAAGAGTGTGGCCTGGCAGCACCCTTTTCACCCCCACACCCACCTTTGACACAGCGTCTCTTCAGCCATGAGGGCAGCAGCTTCCAGATGTTCAGCTCTGAGGCCTATGGTCAGAAGAACCTGCTGTTCAAGGACTCTACCACGGAGCTCGTGCCCATCGCCACTCAGACCTATGAGGCATGGCTGGGCCGCGAGTACCTGCATGCCATGAAGGGTCTGCTCTGTGACCCCAACCGTAAGTCCCTGTCCTTACTCCTGCCAGCTCCACCCCAGCCTGACTGGCATGGCAGGGTCTCTGAGGTGGGTAGGCAGGGGAGGACACTCACCTGGGAGACCTGCCATATGCCTGTGGCCCCTATGGGAGCTGGTCACTTCTAGTTCTCTGCCTCTGGGGCTAGTGGGGGAAGCGTCTCTGTGGTTATTGGACCTCTGGACCCTGGAAAGCCCACCTGCTCCAGGAGGCAGGATCCCAGCCATTAGGGTCAGTCTTAGGGCCATTGAGTTCTGTCAGTTCTGCCCCCACAACCTCTCCTTCCTCCTCCCTTTGTCCACCCCATGGCTTCAGCCCTGTCTCTGGCATTGCCTGGAGTATTGCAGTAGTCTACAAATGGGCTTCGTCTCTCCAGTCCCTGACCCTATCAGCCCTCCCCCATCCAGGGAAATGGTGGCCAGACACTCAGATACATGGCAGCCATGGTCTGCCTCAAGCTTCTCACTGCCCCATGGAAGAGGCAGTTCACCCCTTCCTGTGTGAGGAAGTGGGGTCAGATGGTTAAATAACGTAACCTGGACACGCAGCTAACAAGAGAAAGGCCCAGAGTTTCCCTTGGGTCTGACTTCAAGCTCTTCCCACTGAACACCAGCGCCCACACGCCCACCCACACAGGGATGCCCCACTACCTGCGCTGGTGCGTGCTCTCCACACCCGAGATCCAGAAGTGTGGTGACATGGCGGTGGCCTTCAGCCGGCAGAGGCTCAAGCCTGAGATCCAGTGTGTGTCGGCCCAGTCTCCCCAGCACTGCATGGAGCAGATCCAGGTGTGCCACAGTGGGTCAGGTGGGCATGTGGTGGTTTTGCCTTAGCAGCCCCCCAGCCCCATGCTGCCTGGGGAGGAAGACATCTCCTGAGAGAAGGCCACAGAGAAAGCAGTGAAGGAGGATCACAGTGGGCCAGGAATAGACCTGTGGTCTTGGGCAAGTCCCTTCCCCTTCTTTAGTCTCAGTTTCCCCCTGTGCACAATAGGTGAAAGCAACAGACACTCAGAAATATATTTCGTATCAATCATTGTCTGGTGCACAAAAACCTTTTTCAGATAGAAATATGTGTAAACTTTAGATATGAATTGAAACAACACTTGATGTTTTCTACTGTATTTTATTTTAGTCTCTTTTTCTTTTAATGCCTGCCAAGACCCATTCCACTAATACATTCGCACCTGCACTCTGAGATCCCATTCTGCTCTTATTCTCTTTGCTTCTTTGCTTGGAGACTGAGGCCAGAAGGCAGAGAGGAACCCAGGTCCCTGCAGCCAGGGAGGACATTCTACTGTGATCACAGGTGTCTAGTCTTGAGCCCTTTGAACTCTTCCTGTTTTAAGGGCAAGGGGTTAGAGGCTGATAGGGCAGTCCCTGAGCACAGGTCACAGCTCCCCAGGTGTGCCCTCCCTGCCCAGGCCAGAGAAGAACATTGCCTAGAAAGTCAAGAAAAGGAGCATGGGCAGGAATAAAAGGGGCCACCTGGCTCACACCGGGTCACCACTGACACCGGGTAACCACTGAATCCCTACAAGCATCCTTGGGGTGGGAATGGTCATTAGCCCCATTCACAGGTCTGGAGATGGGGGCTGAGAGAGGCTGAGGAAGTACCTTGCCCAAGATCACCAGCTCAGATATGGAGAAGCCACTCTGCCTAGGGCCTGCAGGAAGTTCGTGTCTGCAGAGCTGAGCTCATCCGTGTGCAGTGCAGATGGAAGAGGCACCTCAGCTGGAATTGATGAAAGGGGGACTGGGGACTTTATTTCCAGATGCCTTTCCCAGGGCCCCAGAGCAGTTAGAGAAGTGGGAAGAGGCTTCCTTTAGGCAGGAGCCTCCTCTCCGTGGCTGCAGAGGGCCAATGGGTTGCCCAGGACTGCGGGAAGAGGAGCAAAGGTCAGGGTTCCTCGGAACCCAGTAAGATGCTCAAAGATCCTGAGTTCTAGTTTCCAAGGCTCTCAGGGGTGGCATCCAGTGTGGCTCTTATCTCTATTTCCTGTGCCACTGCAGTGACCCAAGGAAGGGACCCTCACTCAGGCAGGATCCTGGGCTGTGGGGGTCCAGGTTCTGTGTCCGCCCTGAAAACGCAGTAGGTGAGAGAAAGTCTATGTGAGGGGAGAGGGGCCCGTAGAGGTGTACCCTTCAGGCTTGAAATGTAGTGCCACTGCTGCTGCTCACTAGTACTTCATGCCTCTGGGCCTAAAGGTGTGGGCCACCTTCCTGGGCTGCTGGGGTCCTTCTATTGCCTGGCCTTATCCCCTTCCCTTGGGGTTATTCAGGCTACTATGGATTACCAGCTACCCCTTAGCAGGTCCTGGGGCCACCTGCCAAGAGGCTTCAGATGGACCAAAGGGGTGGGCTACAGGTGACCTGGGGGGCTCCCAGAGGGTCTGAGGGAAGAGGGCCCTGAACCCTTCTATCTGTCTCCTACAAGGGGCTTGGTGTCTCAACCCTGGAGCCTCTCCCACAGGCCCTAAGACTGCAGTCACCTAAGACCTGGTCATTCTCCCATTTGCACATGCATTTGACTGAAGTGTCTTACAATCACACTGTGTCAGCCCTTGGCCGGGTGCTGAGACACCTCAGGTTATCCGTGGAGTACCCACACCTAGCAAGAAGGCAGGGATGGTGATCTCTCTGTCCCCTGTAGGCTGGGAACATTGATGCTGTGACCTTGAGGGGCGAGGACATTTACACATCAGGGAAGGTGTATGGCCTGGTCCCCGCGGCTGGGGAACTCTACTCTGGTGAGTGTGGTGCCAGCCATCTGGCTTCCGCTGGGTGGTGGTTGATGTCTTTATAAAAATGAAAATTTGCCCCTCAGCATTTTCAGAAGCTCCAACTCTCCCTAGTGCCTCTGTCCCTAGGCTGGGTGTCTCTGTCACCAGGGAAATCCCTCCTGCCATGGCCTGGTTTCCCCATCTATACGATGAACATCTCTATGGGATCAGCAAATTTTTTTCAAAAAATTTTTATTCTGATTTAATATATGTGACAGCAGAATGCATTAAAATTCATATTACACATCTAGAACACAGTTTTTCATGTCTCTGGTTGTACACAAAGTAGAGTCACACCATTCATGTCTTCATACATGTACTTTTGGTAATGATGTCCACCTCATTCCACTGTCATTTCTAACCCCATGCCCCCTCCTTTTCCCTCCCACCCCTCTGCCCTATCTAGAGCTCATCTATTCCTCCCATGCTCCCCCTCCCTACCCCTCTATGAATCAGTCTCCTTATATCAGAGAAAATATTCAGCATTTGGGTTTTGGGGATTGGCTAATTTCACTTAGCATTATTTTCTCTAACTCCATCCATTTACCTGCAAATGCCATGATTTTATTCTCTTTTATTGCTGAGTCATATTTCATTTTTGTGTATATATGCCACATTTCTTTTTATCCATTTATCTATTGAAGGGCATCTAGGTTGGTTCCACAGTTTAGCTATTGTGAATTGTGCTGCTATAAACATTGATGTGGCTGTGTCCCTGTAGTATGCTGTTTTTAAGTCCTTTGGATATAGACCGAGGAGAGGGATAGCTGGATCAAATGGTGGTTCCATTCCTGGTTTTTTAAGGAATCTCCATACTGCTTTCCATGTTGGCTGCACCAGTTTGCAGTCCCACCAGCAACGTATGAGTGTTCAGCAAACTTTTTGCAAAGAGTCAGAGACTTTAGTCTCTGTTGAATATTCTTTTTCCTTTAAAACACTCAATTAATAAATATTTTAAAAATTGTTAGCTTGCAAGCCAGGCTATAAAAATACAGGACACCATGGCATTTGCTGATTTTGAACATCCTCGGCCCCTCCCTGCCCTGACTATGGAGGCCCACAGAAGTGACACTCAGGATCCCCCCTTGTAGGCTCATTCACACCTTCTCAGTGGGCTAGGCTTGGCCTTGGCCTCTGTCCTATTAAGTGATGACCATGGGGCCTTTCGTCCTTTCCACCTGGCTGTGAAAAATCTCTGGGTTTAGAGAAAATGCTTCAACCCTCAGCTGTGCCTCCAATTTTCTCCCAGTAGGTGAGAAAAGTACCACCTGGGTGTGAGGAAAGAAGGAAAGTGCTTTGAGTGGGGGCTGTTGGGGTGGGTGGGGTCCAGACTGAAGAGTGAGCCACACAGGCTGCTGGACAGGCTGCTGGACGGCCTTGGGTTGGTCATCCCTGAGCCTGCAGAGACCCAGGGCGATCACAGCTCTCAAGCAGAGAAACAGGAAGCAGGAAGCGACAAGTTTAAGGACACACCCGTGGGGATTGGTCCTGACTCTGATAGGAGACCCCTCGTGAGATGTCCCTGTCCTTTCAGAGGCAGACAGGAGCAGTTCATACTTCGTGGTGGCTGTGGTGAGGCGGGACAGCTCCAACGCCTTCACCTTGGACGAGCTGCGTGGCAAGCGCTCCTGCCACTCAGGCTTCGGCAGCCCAGCAGGCTGGGACGTGCCAGTGGGCGCCCTCATCCAGAGAGGCTTCATCAGGCCTCAGCACTGTGACATCCTTACAGGTACTGCCCTCCAAGAGACACAGACTTGGGAACTCTTCTTTGACACTGGATGGGAAGGCCACCAGCCTGAGGGTCCTCTTGAAGGCAGCCCTGAGAGATTTCCCCTTCCTCCTTGATATGGTTCTGGCTATAGGGAAAGCTGGGAGCTATGCCTGATGTCATGCACAGTATTTATGGCTTCCTGGTGGCTCTGTGGACGCTGCCCAGGTACCCTCTGTCCACCACTGACCTGAGTAGAACTAACTCTATGGGTATGTGTGTGTACACACATGTATCTGGACCTAGTTTGTCACCAGCTGGTCATATAGGGTTTTACCCATCACCCAGCAGTCCCTAGGCATCTGGGATGCCCAGTGGAAAGTGGCCAGGCTCCACAGAAGTGCCCAAGAATCCACACAAGTGCTAAGATGGGGAAGACACATTTGCCAAGCACCCCCCATATGCCAGGCACGAAGCCGCTCTTCTTGGTGTGAAATCATGTGATAATTCATGGTGGAAGGAAAGTCGTGGGAAGCCAGCAAGATCCTTGGACAGACTAGCTACAGACCTCTGTCCTGGCTGGTAACAGGAAAAATAAACTCATTGCATTTTTTTTTTCTAACTACCTATGGAATCACTCAGAGGGCATTCTGGTCCGCAGCTCCCTCTTTCAGACAGCTGGGCACTTGCTTCAATAGGAAAAGAAAAGCATATGAGGCAGTGAGTCTCCTATCCCTGAGAGAGTTTAAGCACAGGTTGGTGCAGATCTGTGGGGGAGCAATCCACCCACCGCCCTGGCTATCTTTCTGCCATGGCCCTTCATCTCGGCCCTTCCCCTCTCCTCCAGCGGTGAGTGAGTTCTTCAATGCCAGCTGCGTGCCTGTGAACAACCCCAAGAACTATCCTTCCTCTCTGTGTGCCCTCTGTGTGGGGGACGAGCAGGGCCGCAACAAGTGTGTGGGCAACAGCCAGGAGCGGTACTACGGTGACAGTGGCGCCTTCAGGTACGCAGTGGCAGCCAGCAGGTGGCCTGGGGACAGCACAAAGGCTGGAACCATCTCCTGACCCCCGCTCTGCCCTCTGTGTGGCAGATGCCTGGTGGAGAATGCAGGGGACGTTGCCTTCGTTAAGCACACGACTGTCTTTGACAACACAAACGGTATGTGAAGGGGCTGGGACCAGAGCAGGGGACGAGTAGAGGGGCTGTCCCGTCCAGCCCAATCCAGTCTCTGTGTTTGGGACCCGAACAGCAGCTGGGAGAGCTTGAGTCTAGAAGGCTCTGCCCATAGGCGCCTAGGAGTCCCGAGGACCACAAGGTAAGAAGGAACCTCAGTCTCACATCCAGGTGTCAGGGCACTTGATGATCTTGCTGATCTGGGATCAACTCCATATTCCACTAAAGTGTCGACACTTTATCTCAGTCGGCTTGGAGACCTGCTCTCGGGGTGTTATTAAGCAGTGCTGAGGCACGTGGGTGGGGTGACAGGGGCCTTTCCACAGTCTATTCACATTAGCATCTGGTCTTTGGTCCTTAGCAGGGTGGTGCCCCAAGCAGGGAAAAAGTCCCCCCTCTGGCTTTGAGCCACACCAAGGCAGGGCCACCCCAGACACACACATGGGCAGCTCTTACACTGGAATCACCTTCCCTGCTTCCACCTGAGAAAAGAGCTCAGCATCACTCTTCCCCAAGGTCCCCTAAACCTCCACTTGAGGTTCTTTCACAGTGAGGGCTTCTTAACTTGCATGGCCCCCACTCAGTAAGAGGACCTGTGATCTCTGGGGTGACTGGAGGCTGTTTCCCCAAAACCCAGTGCTCGTACTTTCTGCCTACCCTGCAGTGTCCCAGGCTTTGAAATCCCAAACACTGTGGGCTTAGTCATGTCCACTGTCTCCTGACATCTCTTCTCCAAGACTCAGCCCAGAAAGGCACAGAGGCCACTCAGAAAGGACACTGGGATTGATCAAGGGGAAGCAAGACACACAGGGAAAAATATCAGTCTTTTAAAACTCAGATCCCACTGGCCTTTAGAGGTCATCAAGGTGGCAGGACTGTTTGTCTCAACAGAGCCAGGGAAGGCTCCAGGCCCCGAGCCTACCTTCCACCCAGAATACTTGGGACCATCCTCTAGGAGGAGGGAGCCATGTTCCCAGCACAAGCCACCAGCTCTGCCTGGTCCCCATAACAGAAGCTCCTGCTAATCATATTTACCCAGTGGGCTTTGTTACTCTGGTAATAGAGTAGAGGACTTGGAGAACGGAAAGGATTGTGGAACTGGCCAGATATTGCCACCTCTGCTCAGCAAAGGGTCTCAGACTGGGAGGAGAGTGGCCTCTTCCCCAAACTTCTCCCTGTCCTGTGCTCCTCCCTCAGGCCATAATTCCGAGCCCTGGGCCGCTGCGCTGAAGTGGCAGGAGTATGAGCTGCTGTGCCCCAACGGGGCCCGGGCTGAGGCCAACCAGTATGAAGCCTGCAACTTGGCGCAGATACCATCCCATGCTGTCATGGTGCGGCCAGACACCAACATCTTCACTGTGTACGGACTGCTGGACAAGGCCCAGGTAAGCCCTGGACATTCCTCCAGCAACTATCCTATTTCCTGCATCATTAATTTTTCCTTTTCAACTGGACCATTCTTATCAACATCTCTGTGGCAGATGCCTGGTGGAGAATGCCGGGGACATTGCCTTCGTTCATAACACATTTGTATTTGTTATTCTTTTTGCCATCTGTAAAAATCAAACTAACCCTCTTGGTCTCACAGGCTCTTATAACCCACTCCCTTTGAGAGCAGAACTCCTCTAAAGGGTTACCTCTATTCTGGAGTCATCAATCCTCTCCTTCAGTTCTCTCTTAAGAATGGAGACTACTCCAGACAGACCCTACCATGGCCCTCAAGCTGTCCTTGTCAAAATCACAGTGACCTGTGTTACTAAATCCAGCAGCTGCTTCTCGATCCTTATTGTGCCTGACTTCCCTGTAACACTGGCTACAGCTCCCTCCTCCTGAAAATTCAAGTCCCTCCCCTAGAAGGGGGTCCAAGGTCCCCACACCTGCCTGGCTCTCCTCCCACCTCTCTGGCCTCTCCTTCCCAATTCCTCTCCTGGTTCCTGCTCACCTCCCTGGCATGTAAATAAGGATGTAAATAAGTCCTAAGCCCTCTTCTCTGTCTACACTTATCCCCTCATTAATCTCATCTTGCCTCATGTCGTTAACGACCATCTGTACACAGATGGTTCCTAAATGTACATCCTCAGCCCTGATTTCAATCCCATCTTTCCATCCCAAACTGACATGGTTAACATGCCTACTTGCTACTTCCCTCTGTATTTCTAACAGGCATCTCCAACTGATCAAGTCCAAGGGTGAACCCTCCTTCCTCCTCCAGTTGCCTGCTTCAGTTAACAGCAACTGTTGTCTTTCCATTTCCTCAGAAGTCATCTCTGACTTGTCCATCCACAGTTTGTTACTTCCAAAATGCATCTAGRTTTTGAGCCTAGCTGTCCAAGGAGCCCCTGGTTTCAAACCTCCAACCCTCTTCCCTCCTCCATTGATTTAGGCGGAAACGGTGCTCTCTGCCCACCAGCACCACGGAATTCCAGAGACACTGGCTCTTCAGGCCTGTTCCCAAACTAAAATTTTATGTTCTCCACTTGTCTTCCCCATGGAGTCCCTCCATTCCAGGAGTTCCTTACTCCAGGCCTGTGGGCTTTCCCTGGAGTCCCTAAACCCTCTGAAGTAAGGTGGAAAGAATTCTGTGCACATGTATTTTTCTGGAAAGAAGGCCGACAGCTCTCATCAGATCTTCAAGAGGATCTGAGTCCCCTCAAAAAAAGATTGATAGCCACTTACTTCTCCTTCCCCCTTTGATTATATTTATCAGCTGACAGACATTTATGCCTAATCTCCAGATGTCCTTTATTCATGTGTTTATAGGTTCTCACACTACTTCTGGTCTTCTTAATAGCTCTTTCAGGCTGTTCACAGCACATTCAATGCAAGGATTCCCAGCAAGGAATTGAATAGCAGCACCATTGCCTGGACACTGGAGAAGGGGAGTTGATTAGTGAAAATATCCTCAACTCACCTATTATTTTATTACCGGTGACAATCTTGATGAGATTATTTTGGTTTGTAGGAAAAGATAACCCTAAGATACATCAAGAAAACAGTATCCAAAAAGTTGAAATATGCTGAGCAAGCTTAGCAAAAATTTAGTAATCTGATCCACACCATAGCTCATTTCTGGGTCTTCTTGCTTCTGTTCTTCATCCAATAAGTGGTCTGGTGTAACTTCTTGAACCACTATCTTAAGGTGATTCCTCTAGACATAGATTTTCCCAAGCCCCTTCCATGACAGAGGCCCATAAGTGGTCAAGCTGATGGCTTCAAATCAGAATCTTGGTACCCTGAAGTTACTTGCTCTTTGGGTCTCCTGTAACCCTCTGTAAGCCTGGATAAAAAGTTGGTTGCTTGCGGTGCTTCCAGGACCTGTTTGGAGACGACCACAATGCAAACGGGTTCAAAATGTTTGACTCCTCCAAATACCATGGCCAAGACCTGCTTTTCAAGGATGCTACAATCCGGGCAGTGCCTGTAGGGGAGAAAACCTCATACCTTGACTGGCTGGGGCCTGACTACRTGGCAGCTCTGGAAGGGATGCTGTCTCAGCAGTGCTCCGGCACAGGTAGGGCCCTGTCACATCCCCCTGGCATTACTTAGACCCTTTCACCCTAAAACCTTGAGAGCTGAGGGCACTCTAGGCTCAGGCCAGCCTGTGTTTCACCTACCATTCAGGGGAAGAGTTCTGGGAGGGTCTAAACAGGGAAACTKCAGACAATTCTGGCAGGAACTGGCCATGTCACTCAAATAGCCCTSGATAATGAACATAAATGCTAAAAAGGATATTCCAAAGAGGATCTGAGGTAACGACATACATATTCATGTAGTATAATTTGGACGGGAATGAATATGTACAGAAACCAAGAGAACGGATAATTGTAAAAGGGTAGATAGAAAGAGTGGGCTGGAGCGAGCCGAGCACCCAGAAACCCGGCCGCCCACAGTCCTGCGTGCAAGCAGACGGGCGATGCCAGGGCTTCCAGGTCTTCCTGATCCCAACTGTCCCTTCTTCCCCAGCGGCTGCCCAGCCCCCAGGTCCCCAGCTGCCACTGCTGCTGCCGCTCTTTACTGGCCTCCTCCTGCACGCCCTCTGAGCGCCACTCSGGCCAGCTGGCCTCGCGACCTGCTGGGAACCGCAGCCGAGGCCAGTCTGTGCAGGGCCTTGGCTGACACTGTCCCGAGAAGCGTCGCGYGCTGGAGAGGAACGGGAGGAACCACGCACAGAGCTCCCCAGAACTCCTGCTCTGACCCAACGAGAAGTTTCTGGAATGGAGATGAAGGCTAAGGCAAAGCCCCCTCCCTCCCGCGGAGCCACCCGCCCCCAGCCGCCTGGCCCTGGCCACCTGAGGCGGCTGGCCCGATGCCCAGTCACGCCGCCCAAGCTGGCAGCGCCTCCCTGCCAACCTGCAGCCTCCCACCTGGAGCCGGTGGCTGGCTGCGGAGAAGGCCGGTCGCCAAGGAAACCGCTGAGCCCGGCTTCCCACGCGGCCCTCAGCTGCGCGGCGGCCTGGGGACCTGAGAGCGCCTGCTGGGCCAGCTGCCCAGAGGACTCTGCGCCTCCGCTCCTGCTCCCGCGGGCACCACCTCCTTCCCACACTTCTGAACGAGCCGCTGGTCGCCTCAGCCTTTTGTTCTTGTCTTCTGAGGCGCCAGTGGGCGTGTGGGCAGCTGATTCTGCACGGCCCTGGAGGGAGAGCAGAGCTGGACTGTAGGGGTGACACCCTCAAGGGACCCTCAGAAGAAGGAAATGCTTCTCAGTAAGGGATTAGTTGGTGGGGGGCTTGATGCAGGTTTTGGGGCTGTAATCCTGCCTAAAAACACATCTGTTGGTGAATCCAGTTCCATCCCAAGGCAAAGCCCATCAGATGGAATCCACTCCTGAGTTTCCTCTTCTGGGCTCAGTCTCAGATTATCTTCTCTCCCTGCCCCACTGTGGTTCCCCTAACCCCTCAGCCTATTTCTGGACACCTGCCGCTGCTGTTTACTACAAAATGAAGGAGCAGGATGTGGCCCAGGTAGCCCACAGGGGGAGACCCTCTGAAGAACAGGGTGAGGACCTGCCACTCTCTCACCCTAGTAAGCTCCATCTTCTCCCTTAACTTTGTACCTATGGGGTCCAGGGCCCATCCGCTCCAAAGAAAGGGTTCTCAATTTCTGACCCCTGTGAGAGTAAGCAGAAAGAGTGTGGAGAGGGTCCTGTCTCCACTCCACTTTGCCATGGTTCTCTGAGGAGCCAGAAAAAGTTTTCCAGAACTTCAAGCTTACTCTGAATTTTGCTCCCTGAAAAAAAAGAAAAAAAAAGAAAAGAAAAAAGGAAGAAGAAACGAGAGCAAACAGCTCTCGTCAGCAGACTGAGAGCCGCGTGGGCCTGGAGCTATTTGTATCCTGGTCTGCGGGGGCCTTGGGGATGCTGATGACAGGCCAGGTTCCTGGTGGTTCGCCCCCACCTGTGGGCGCTGGGCTTATCCCTTACATGTCTCAGCAGTGAAGAAGGCCCTGGCAGCATCCTGGTTATAGCCACACCATCCTGGGGAGTCCTGGCCACCATGCTAGGGTAGCCCTTGTCCGCTGCAAGAGGCCAGAAGGAGCTAGGCCTCCTACCTTGGTAACCTCTTCACTGGAGAGAGAGTGTGATTCTTCTTAGATGATTGTTTGATTTTTTTTTTTAAGGGAACTTTGTGCAGTGAGAAGTCTATGTCTCTGTGGCTACTCTGGACTAGCGTGCCACCCAATGTGGTGCCATATACTGTGTGCTATGGAAGGTGTGATTTGCATGAGTGCTGCGTAAGTGACGATCTGATTGTCAGGTGATAGTAAGGGCTGTGTTACTGCTCATGAAAGATGTTGGTTTGTTTTTAAAATAAAATCAAACAACCCTGCACACGCAGAGGCTTGGATTCTGATAGAAACTTTCTGCTACTGATTCATTTTGTTTCCTTGGGTACTCAGAGGCCTGCGTGCCCAGACCCACTGTCCTGCCTCACGCAGAATGGCAGATTCCACTCAGAGGCCTGTTATCCAAGAACCAAAATCAGGGACCATTCTGGGCCTCCAGCCAGCAAAGCCCCCAGCTTCCTGCTCCCATCTGGACTGCTTCTCTGGCCCCCACAGTGCCTCAGCCATCCCCAGCACATTCCAGCTGCTTCCACCCACTCAGCCCCTTGGGTGTCCTGTCCGATCTCTGGGGACTGGGTACAGAGGAGGATATAAACTTCTCCACTGCCCCTTGTCTTGTGTCACTAAAATAAGCCACCCACACCCTGGGTACTAACTCACCGGTGGGGGAGAAAGAGAGGAGCGGATCTCTATGTCCTCRCAGTGGGTGCTCTCTGGCCTGTACTGGAGTATAGATGGGCCCTGCTTGGTCAGAGTCTGAACCCTGCCATCCCTCAGGGAGTGGAGGTTTTTGTACTCCCCTCTCCCTTGACTCCTGTCCATTCTGTCCCACCATCATTGTAGCCTCTCACACAGGTAGATTTTACCTGCTAATGGACACAGGCCATTTCCCATTGGTGTGTACAGTGAGAAGATATTCCTGAAGGAGCATTTTGTAGAATATTGACAAAATGCTACAATTTTTTTTAAAAAAGATATCCCAATTTGGAAAAAAAAATATAATTGGATCACTTACCTAGGATTGAGGGAATTTGAATTCTAGTCTATGTCTGCTATTCACCTTGAGCAAATATTTGCTCCTCCCTCAATCTCAGTTCCCAAATCTATCCAATGGGAAGTTTCAATGGTCCCTTGGTGGTTTTTGCTCTACCAGGTTTTATAAGTCAGTCTTCCTAGGGCTGCTTCTGGCTGGTACTGAAGTGCAGAGGACCAGGTGGGCTCCTTCATTTCTCCTTCCCTGATTGACACTACCAACCCTGAAGCTGTTTCCCAGCTGAGAATCATTATATGCCAGGAGCTCTTGCACTCCTGTGTGCGTCAGATCACGTCAAGGGCTTGTTGAAACAGATTGCTGCTCCTACCCACCCTTCTCAGTTTTCCATTCTGTGGGTCTGGGGGGGGGCAGGGGTGTCCCCGAATTAACATTTCTGTCAAATTCTCAGGTGATGCTGTCGGTCCATCCACCTTGCTTTGAACAAATGTTTAAGGCACTGTGAGCTCACACACAGTAAGGACATCAACAGGTGCCTGTCCCAGTGTGAGTCCAAGGCTTAGGTGGGGAAACGGAGTGGTTGGGACCCTTGTGGAAGAAGCTAGGCCCTGCCCAGGGGACCTGTGGCCTGGGGAGGGGTGTCTCCACAGGGAGAGGTAGGATGGGCAAGAAGATGTTGAGGGCCATAGCTGAGTCGGGATGACGCATGGCATTTTTGCCAGAAGTAGTGGTTGAGAGGTGACGCCAGCGAGCTATTAAGATGATGACTTTTGAATTCTCGCGGAGTTCCCGTTGAGTTCCGGTTGAGCTCTCGCGGGGATTCCTGAAGAGTTGCCGGTTGGTTGGTGAAGTTCCGGTGGTGGGAGTTCCGGTTGGTGTGGTGTGTTCCTGGAGGAGCCGCGTGGGTGGCGTTTGGGAGAGTTCCCGGGGAGCCTGTGTGGAGTTGGTGGAGTTCAGAAATAAAGTTTGTTCCTGCTTGAGTGGCTCCTGATTTGTGCCCAGCCAGACTGCGGCAAGAAGGTGCTTGAGCAGCTGTGGATTCAACAAGCTGCAGGAGAGGGACAGCATGCAGTCACCACTCTTTCCCAGCATGTGGCTCTCTCCTTCCTCTGGCCCTGGCCACGGTATTCCCCACCCTCAGCAGCCTAAATCGGGTTTTTAGGAAGAAGGGAAAATCCAAATATTAGCCTGGGAAGGATGTGTGTGGTCAGAATATACCTCTTCCATCTCCTTCTTGGCTTGGAAGTCTCCAGAAACCTCTAATTCAGCAGAAAATCCAAATGGTATTCTCTACTGTGGCCAACCTTTAGGACAAAGAGATGGATGTGAAGGGCCTGGTGGCTTGCTGGGTAGGGTGTTCTTAGCCAAGATCCCAAGCCAAACAATTATGAGGCCCACTCTGCCACTGACCCACTCACTTCTTTCCTTCTTCCTCCTAACAGACCCCACCTAAAAGCATTCATCTGTGGGACCAGACAGTTGAGTTCTGGCTGAAGGAAATGATGTGCTTTGGGGGACACGTGCGTGGTGTGGGTTCCAAGAAGTCTGTTCAGGAGGAACAAATTGGGCAAGCATAGCCCCTCACCCCTGAGCCCGTCTTTTCTTCCTTCCTGGAAAGCAGACGTGATAGCTGATAAATGCAGCAATTACCTTGCTATATGAGGCAACAAGCAAAGGAAAAGGACAACGTGGAGGGGAGAGCTGAGCACTCGAGTCAAGTGGCAGTACCCAGGCCTCCAGTGATCTGATCTGGATTCCCTAGCTGCCATTTCCAGTTTCCTCTTGTTTCCCCTGAAAACATCCTGAACAAATACAAGTGGTAATGGTGGAGAGTGTGAGATAGGCCAGAGGGCTCCTAAATTCTTGGCCTGGCCTTGTGACTTGTGTGGGACTCCGGAGAAGTCACTGCCACCTCAGGGACATGTTTCCCCATATGTGGGAATGAACCTAAAGGCCTCCAGGGCCTCCTTATGCCCTGTGTGGCCATATTCAAGGGCCAGAGCTGGTCCCAGCTGAGTTCCAGGACAGGGGATGGGGGGACTTTCGGGATGGGTCAGGAAGTCACCTTAGGAATGTGTGACATCCTGGAACTGGTGTCTTATCAGTGTCTAGATGAAAGGAGTACAGAATTTGAGGTTTCTATACTAATTTAGTCCAGTTATAAGACTTTTAAAATCCCAAAGAGGAATCATTTCTAAGTATCTCCTTGACCTTGACCCTGGGGTTCTTATTTGTCCCCATTAGAAGCCGTGGGAAAGCTCTGCAGACCTGTCCCCCACCCCATACCTTGTGAGTCAGGTGGGACTGGCTGTTGGAGCTGCAGCAAAAGCCTGAGACCCTTGGGATTTGGTCATGGGTCAACCTCTGTGATACATGAACCAACTTAGGCCTGGTTCTGGGGAAAGTACACAGCTTGAGTTTGGAGAAGGAGGAGGAAATCTGGGTACTGTGAGCAAAGAATTAAAGAATGGGAAATGGAGGAAGGGGCCCCGAAGCCCACCTTCCTCTACTCTGGGCTAGTCTCAGCCTGTCCTGGATAGATCCCCAAAACACCTGCTGGTTCTGAGAGCTCTCTGAGGAGTAGCAAGTGTGGGGTCCCACAGTGTCATTGAGAAGAAGAAACCAAAAAGCACTTTGTGAAGGCACCTTTGGACAGACATTGTCCCAAAGTGACAGTGACTGGTGAGGGTGACAGAGGTTTTCATGATCACGCTGGTATGCACCAGCTCAGGAGTATACATTCAACCTCTGCAGAAACAACTTGGGAACCTCAGTAAAACAGGGCTGATTGGCCTGTCAGACCCCAGGATTCGCTTCCTCCTTCCCTTCCTGTCTCTCTGGAAGGCCTCCTCCAAAGCCCCAAGCCCACCCCTGGATGGAATCACCGTACCCTAGTCAACCAACCTCTGACTTGTGACATGCCTCAAAGGCAGAGGAAACCTTGCCTTTGAATATAGTAAAATAGGTTCACCACATCTCTTTCCTTAGCAAAAAGTTGTATGTGTATGTGTTGGGACAAGAGAGGATTGTAATCATAAAGGTGAAAGTTCCTCTCCCTTTGTTTTTTTGAAAATAAGCCTTTCAGTGAAACTACTCTGTGTGACACTATAGTGGTGGACACGTCATTTGTCCAAACTCACAGAATTTCTAATATCAAGAGTGAACCCTAATATAAACTATGGGCTTTGGGTGACAACAATGTGTCAGTGTAGAGTCATCAATTGTAACAAAGGCACCACTCTGGTAGGGGTGTTGGTAATGGGGGAGGCTGTGCATGTGTGAAAACAGAAGCCAGGTGGGAAAGTTGCTTCATTTTGCTGTGAATCTGTAACTGCTCTTTAAATAGACAAGTCTGACTTCAAAAAAAAATTCAACAAGGTCAAGGCATGGTGGCACTCGCCTGTAATCTCAATGACCCAGGAGACTAAAGTAGGAGGAACACAAGTTCAAATCCAGCCTCAGCATCTTAGCAAGGCTCTATCTAAAATAAAAAATTAAAAGGGCTGGGGATGTAGCTCAGTGGTAAGTGCCTCTGGGTTCAATCCCCAGTACAAAATAAATAAATTAATTAAACAAGTCTTGCCTGGCTAAGGTATAGACTAAAGTCCAACAAAGAGAATGACAACCTCTAGGACCATCGGTGTTCCCTCCCCTTCCCCACTTCCAAAGTGAGTAGATTGTCGCACTTATGATTATCTGACTGTGCGTTCCTCTCCAGCAACTGTGWCCTTGTCTTCCTTGACCTCAATAAAATAACTAGTGAGTGGATCAACCCAGCACCAAGCCCAGGTCCCACACCGGCTGGGATTCTCTCAGGCCCACGCACCTCTGGCTCATTTCTTCAGTCTTTTGCCTGGCCCAGTGACACCCTATAAGGAAAGTCAAGTCCCTTGCAGAGTGGCAGGCCATTAGCAAGACCCACTAGACTCCAGCAGGAAGCTGAGCAGATGAATCCATGGGGACAACTAGTCACATCTTTGGATTTGAACTTGGAAATTTTACAGCATAGGGGTGAGGTCTCCTCCCAGCCCCTTATCCAGACTGCCCCAGGGAAAAAGCTGTCCCCTGGGCATGTGTGGCACCACTGGGAAGGAAGGCCACCAACCCCTGGGGAGAAGCCTCAAGTGTCCTGGGAAACAAGGTTCTGCAATTAAATGGGGCAACACAGTGACCTCTTTTGCTATGGGAATTTTTTTTTTTTTTAAGAAAAATGAACCAAAACTGGACCTACAACAGAGGTTAGATAAATGGCCAAGATGGAGGTGTGAGGATGTTCACCCRAAGTTTTGAGAACAATAAAATACTGGAAACATTCTAAATGCTCCCACCATCAGGCTGGACAAATGAAAGACGGTTTATACTTTCATTTGCAATGGATAGTTTGAAACCATTAAATGGAGGGTAGAGTTATATTTACTGAGGTAGAAAAATTCCTTTGACAGATTGTTGAATAAAAAGAGCAGGTTATGAAACAGTATATGGTCCCATTACCATAAAATCTCTCTCTCTCTCTCTCTCCCTCTCCCTCTCTCTCTCTCTCTCACACACACACTCACAGAGCCGTCTGGAAATCTGTTCACAAAACTGTTAACAGTAGCTCTCTCCAGTTGGTGGAATTTAAGGGCAGTTTCTACTTTCTTTAAACTTTATTTTTAGTTTCTTTAAACTATATATTTTGAATTTTAAAAAAATCTTCATAGTTAATTGCCAGGCGCAGTGGCACATGCCTATAATCCCAGCAATTCAGGAGGCTGAGAGACAGGAAGATCACAAGTTCAAGGTCAAACACAGCAACTCAGTGAGACTCTGTCTCAAAAGAAATAACAAGGTTTGGGGGTGTCGCTCATTGGTAGAGGGTACCTGGGTTCAATCCCCAGTACTGCAAAAATACATTCATACCCATAAAATAGTCAATCATTTTCATTTTGGAATAGGTAAATAAACAAGCAAACAAAAATAAAATCTTCCACTGTCCCAATCATGKTCCCCATTATCTCCTCTCAACTTTGGCTGAGCCATTCCGTGTTCCCTCAATGAGGAGGCCCAGCAGGTTGTGGGAGAAGCCCAAGCTTGGAACTACTGGATTCCAGCTGTGGATGTGTCTCTGCTGCCAGCCGTGTGACCTTCAAGAAGCCGGTCTCCAACATCTGCGATGTCTGTGGTCCTGAGCTCATGACTTCTGCCAGGCTCTGGGAGGACAGGGAACAAAGAAAGAGAGGTCTAGGAGGCTGAGGCCATCCTCACATCAGTGGACTGAAATCCACGCTCAGTTAAATCAGCTACAGGTGCCCAGGCATCTGTTGAGAGGAGCCAGGGGAACTGGGCACAGGATCAAACAGACTGCTCAGGCAAGATGGGGACACAGAATGTCTCCTCCAGGCCACTCCACCCCCACCCTTCACACTCAGCTTATTCGCATTCTTGGATGCAGGGTGCTCCCACCCCCACCCCCACCCCCTTCTCCCTGGTTCATAGGCTCCTGCAGGATGCTGGAGCCAGGAGGAACCTCAGGGAATTGGCTTTTCCAATCAATGCATCCCACTCCCTCATTTTGTAGAAAACCAAGGTCGCAGAGGACAGGACTCTCTATAGATGGGGACTTTGCCAACATGGCTCCAAAACTGAACCCAGACTCTGGTTCCCCACTGTAACACAGGGTACAGGGACCAGCACACTCTAGTGCCTTCCCTTCTACCAGGTTCCCAGCCCAATTCACCACCTGGAAAACTTTTAACGGTTGTGCCACAGCTGTGTGCCTGAGGTCCTCATTGCCAGCTGGCCAAAAAGTGACCCAGTGCCAAAATCCCACTTTACTTGCTGTTCCCAGGATATTTCCTGGTACCAACTGTCATAGGTTCGTTTGCACAGAAAACGCACTGAGCCAGATCTTGGGAGAGGAGCAAAACTCCATGCAGCAGAGTTATCCTGCCTCGAGGCACCAGGACCCGGCCTTTATATCCCTACATCAAGCCTCCATTTGACAATGGTCTAGGGGTAGCCTGTGATTAAGCAAGGTGGCTCTCTTCAGTTGAGTGCAAGTCTCAGAGAGAAACACAGCTGGGCCCCATCACCACCAAAACACCCAGCGTCTGGGAGAATGAGGGCCTCAGTCCTGGAGGGGCAGCCCCCTACAGGGGYGCTGGATGGTGCACCACAGCAGCCCCTATGTAATCTCTCTGCCAGAGATTCCATGGCCAGCCAACAGTGGGGTCGCAAAAATCCAGCTGACGGAATGGCAGCTATTATGCATACAAACAACAATAAGTGTTGTCGAGGATGTGGGGGAAAAGGTACACTCATACTGTAGGTGGGACTGCAAATTGGTGCAGCCAATATAGAAATCAGTATGGAGATTTCTTGGAAAATTGGGAATGGAACCACCATTTGACCCAGCTGTCCCTCTCCTCGGTCTATACCCAAAGGACTTAAAAACAGCATACTACATGGACACAGCCCCATCAATGTTTGTTTATAGCAGAACAATTCACAATAGCTAAACTGTGGAACCAATCTAGATAAACTTCAATAGATGAATGGATAAAAAAAAATGTGGCATATGTACACAATGGAATATTATTCAGCAATAAAAGAGAATAAAATCATGACATTTGCAGGTAAATGGATGGAATTAGAGAAGATAATTCTAAGTGAAGTTAGCCAATCCCCAAAAACCAAGTGCCGGATGTTTTCTTTGATATAAGGAGGCTGATTCATAGTGGGGTAGGGATAGGGAGCATGGGAGGAATGGACAAACTCTAGATAGAGCAGAGGAGTTGGAGGGGGAAGGGAGGGGACCTGGGGTAATTAATGATGGTGGAATGTGATGATCATTAACTATCCAAAGTACATGTATGAAGACATGAATTGGTGTGAGTATACTATGTATACAACCAGAGATATGAACAATTGTGTTCTATATGGTAATAAGAATTGTAATGCATTCTGCTGCCATATATAAATTTTAAAAATTTACATAAAAAATCCAGCTGACTAAAGCCCATGCATTAACAGGGCTAGTTCCTTGACTTGCAGAGCCATCACTCAGTCTCTGCCTTTATTTTATACATGGCTACTTCATGGGTGTGTGTACATGGGTCACATTTCTCCTTTTTCTAAGGACACCAGTCATGTTGGATTTGGGCCCCCCTAAAGAACCTCGSCTCAACTAATTACATCTGCAATAACCCTATTTCTAAGGTCATGTTCTTAGGTAGTGGGTGTTAGACCTTCAAAATATGATTCTTAGGGGGACACCAGTCAACCCATAACAGTTYGCTATTTTAAAATGGATCAGGGCTGGGTACAGAATGCCCTGAGTCTCTGGGCCATCCCCTTGGTTCCTACCCCTGCCAGTACTAAAATATCAAATAGATGGTATTTGGCTGAGAAACTGGAGCCCTATCCCAGCCCCAGGTGAGCTCTGACCCTCCACTTGCCTTCCCTCTGCAAACAAGGAATGGGGCAGGGACAGACAGTTCTGATCTGCAGATGGACCAGCTTGAGTTCTCCCTGGTGCCAGCTGTGGCACAGCTGGGAGGGGGGAGGGTCAGCTTTCCCAACGCCAGGCTGTGTGCATGGGGCCCAGTGCCCTGGGGCGTGCTCAGGCCTCACTCCCACTCCCTCACCRCCTTCCTTTCTGACCCCAAGTGCTCCAGCTCCAGCATGTGCCCTAGGAGTGTTGCCTCTCAGAACCCAGTTCAGTCATCGTAGACTGGAAAGGAAGCAAAGGCACGTGGCACCTCCCAAGGAGGTCGCCTTTTGTATTCCAGCTATCAACATCTGGGGGCCGTGATTAGTATTACCTGTCCTCCAGGATTCGGAATCGAGGCTCTAAGATRGAGGGACTTACAGGGATTTGAAAGCTGGCCCAGTCAATCCCAGAGCATGGTGGTGGCAAATCTGCACTAGGCCATGCTGGGAAGTCAGCATTCACCATGGGTCTAGCTGGGCCACCTGCCTGCCATCTCCAGGACAGCCTGACCAAAGTCCAGGTACAATTGCCTTTATCTCCTCTGCTGCTGATCTCCATTTTCATCTCAGGGCCACTAGTCAGGAGGCCCCTCTGAGCAGGAGGCCTGAGCTGCACTTGTGGGAGTGAGGTTGGTCACTGATAGCAGAAGTGCTGGCCATGCAGATCGTGTCTCTAACACTAAGCTTATCTTGAGAGGACAGAATTCCCCAGCACTGCTCTCCAGCCTGCACCRCTGCCTGGCTGAGCCTTGGGAGGGAGGGAGGTCCCTTTCCCCTCTTGCCAGGGTTCCAGGATCCAGAGTGGTGCTGCCTGCCTTCAGCCCTCCTGGCAAGGGGTCTCTGGTCCTAGAGCACAGCATGGGTCTGGCTGAGGAGGAGTGACCTGCAGGACTGGAAAGGGCCACCTGCTCCAGCTAATGGCTTGTTTAGTTATTTCTTTCATTAAAGACACCAGCCCTGTGCGAGTGTGTGGGCAGGAACCCATGTGTGTGCAAAGGTCCTGAGTACATGTGTGAGCATGTACGCCCTCATGTCCAGACGTCTTTTCCTGCAGGACAGAGGAGCTGGATCCTGTGCAGAAGATGACAGGAAACATCCTCACCCACAGAGGTTTCAGGACTCAAAAGTTTGGAAACCCTCACTTTTTTGTTCCACCTCAATTTCCATCAGAGGATGGAGAACATTCCCCCACCGCAGTGCTGGGGAGGGTACCCAAGGCCTCCCACATGTTAGGCAAATGCTGTATCACTGAGTCACAGCCCCGGCCTGAGGAACTTTTTAAAAACCAGCCTTCCTCTTTCCATGCCAAACTCCATTTCTTCTGAGATCTCATCAAGGTGTTGGGTGGAGGGTGCAATGACATATATCTGCTTTGCAGTCTCCTCTTAAGCAGCCTTAGTTTTTTTTTTTTAATTGTGGTATAAAATTTACTATTTTTTTAATTAMAAAATTTAGTTGTCAATGGACCTTCATTTTTAAAATTAATTAATTAATTTATTTATTTATTTTTATGGGGTGCTGAGAATTGAACCTAGTGACTCACACATGCTAGGCAAGTGCTCTACCACTGAGCTACAACCCACCCTAAAACTGACGATTTCAACCTTTTTAAGGGTACAGTTCTATGGCGTTAAGTACATTGTTGTACAATCATAACCACCATCCATCTCCAGAACTTTCTCATCCCCGATTGAAACTCTGACCCACTGCTTTCCCCTCCCCTCAGCCCTGGACAACACCATTCCACTTTCTGCCTCTATAATAATGACAACTCTAGGTACCTCACATGACGATCATATAGTATTCGTCTTTTCATGACTGACCTATTTCACTTAACATGATGTCCCCAAGGTTTACCCATGTTGTAGCATGCATCAGAATCTCCTTCCTTTTTAAGGCTGAATAATATTCCTTTGCAGGGATAGACCATGCCTTCTTTATCCTTTCATCTTGGACACTTGAGTTGCTTCTACCTCTTTTTTCACAATATTTTTTAGTTGGACCTTTATTTTATTTATCTATTTATATGCAGTGCTAAGAATCAAATCCAGTATCTCACACATGCTAGGCAAGCACTTTACCACTAAGCCATAACCCCAGCCCTGCTTCCACCTCTGAAATGCTGCTGTGTTCACAAGTGTACAGATAGATAATGTGTTCAAATCCCTCCTTTGAAGTCTTTGTGTATATACCCAGAAATAKAATTGCTGGATTCTATGGTAAGTCTATATTTAATTTTTTGAGGAATCACCACACCGTTTTACACAACAGTTACAGCATTTTACATTCCCACCAACTACACAAGGGTTTTGATTTCTCCACATTCTAATCAATATTGGTTTTCTGTTTCTGTTTTTGCAGTGCTGGCTTTGGGACCCAGGGCCTTGAACATGCTGGGTGAATGCTCAGTCTCTGAGCTGCACCCCCAGCCTCTGTGATTTCCCTTTTTGTAGTAGCCTTCCTAATAGACAGGAGGGCATTTCTCATTGTGATTTTGATGTATCTATCCCTAATGATTAATGATGTTGAACATCTTTTCATGTGGCGCCAACTAAATGTAGATCTTCTTTGTGCAGTGTCTACATTTTTAAGTCTCCTCATCTCAATGCCCTGAAGGTTGTCATTTGGGACTATTTTCTCTTTGAGATTTTGTGTGTCCCATCAGGCCTGGACTTGCTCCCAGTGGAGACATGTTTGTGTGAGTGGGAAGTGGGAAGGA